TGCCGCCGTAGCCTGGGCGCAGGCCCTTGTGAAAGGCAACGGGCAAAAGGCCCTTAAGCCCAGAGCGAGACAGCAGGATCCATGCCCATGCAGACAGCGGCGGGGGGAAAAAATATCACAGAAGGGAGACAGTTAAGACTTGGAGACAGAGACATGGAGCCCATATCTATTGTTTGTCTTTGTTCAGAGAGGAACTTCACTGGGACTCGCGGATGGACGTCGTCATTTTGTGTCTTTCCCTTGTGGATAAACACTTGAAGACGCAATTGCCTCTCCTCAGGCAAGCAGCCCCCGAGGCCTCTTCCAAGATGGTGAGACAACGTATCTCCTGTCTCTCTACTTGTATTCGTCCCTTGCGTTCGATTAGGCCGTGTGCAGTTGTCTCTCTTCTTCTATGTCTTTTCCCCGTCTCCTATCTGTCTTGATTCAGCCTGCCATCGTCTAATCTGCTCGTTTTGCTTGCCGTTGGTGCTCTCTGCTTATGCTGCTTGATTCTTTTCTGTTCTTTTGTCTGTCTCCCGGTTCGTACCGGCAGGTGATGTCTGCGCTTTGGGTGTAAATGTGAGCGTTGTTCGTCTGTCTGTCCCTTTCACCTTCACCTTTTTATCGTCCGCCTCCATTCTTGTTTTCTATGTACTTGCTTCTTGTTCTCTATCAATGCTGTGTCGTTAGCTCTCTCTATACGGTTGTTTCTTGTCCATTCTGGCTTTGTCTCCCTGCCGGTGGACCTCTCGATGTTTCTGTGCCCCCGTTTTTTATCTAACCCTCTCTGAGTTTATTGGGTTTGTGTTTTCTGTTGCCTCCACCCCTGCTGCGTCATTTGTATTAAGGGTGAAAATGTGGCCGCCCAGGCATAAGTTGCTGTGGCTACGGCGCAGTGAACAACGCTGGAAGAAGCAAGGGCGAGATGCAGGGGTTCTTGTGTCTCTGTCTACAGGGCATGAGAGAGGACGACGTCCTTGCAACGCTCATGCACCAGATGTGGGCGGGCTGCTACAGCAACGCTCTGTCTCTGCCAGCCACTCTTTCCACGCTGACTCTGTCCTCGCAGGAGACTGAGGCCCTCCTCAAGCCTCACAAGTCGCCAATGAGGTTTTCTGAACAAACGCTTGTCGACATTGACAGACTTCTCCTGGATTTCGCGGTTAGCAAGGGCATCGGGTNGACAAAATTTAAGGGTTCAGAGCTCAGTTGTCATGGTTTAGGGTTTACGATGCAGCAACTTGTGTTAGTTGAAGGCGCGTGCACGTGCGACCCCTGTGCTCCTGCGCGGCTGACTATCGTCTTTATGCCTTTGCGGTGGGTGGCGTGCTTTTCAGGAGGGCCGTCTGCCCTCTCCTTGGCATACAACAGACTGGAGAGACACTTGGTGGTTCTGTATCTTGAGCGTCTCCTGTATTTTCTGCTTTCTTTTTCTCGCTGGGAGGAAGGCAGCGAAGGCCTACAGACGGAAACACAAGGGAAAGGGGGGGGCGCGAGAAAAGGCTCCTCTTACCAGCCCCAAGTATTTATAGAGAAGCAGCTCGTCGCTCAACAGAAGCCCTAGCAGAAGGGATGCCTCTGCTGGTGCAGCACCACCGAGCTGCGCCTCGCGCTCCTTATGTGCTTCTTTCACCTCGAAGCTTTCTCAACGTTGCAACGTCTGCTGCCCCGTTCCGCTTGCAGGAGCGACGCTCTTTCTTGCCTTTTCTGTAGTGGAGGGCTTCTCTGCAGTTGTTTCAGCCAAGGACTTCTGTACTGCTGCTGCAGCGGAGGTTGTGTTTGCTGCTGCGAGTGTGTGTGCGTATCCTCGCACTAAGCAGTGCGACAGCACCAGTCAGAACCTGCGCTGCGCTGGACCGGGCGAAGCTACAGGGAAGGTTACTTTTGGGGTATCACATTTTGCTTTAGATTACGCCAAGTTCAAGAGGAGACGTTCGCAGCGTTGTACAGTTGGGATGTGCTGCTACGGCTGGTAGTACCTGGCCTTTGAACCCAGCAGCAGCAGAAAGCAACAATAACAAAAAGCAGCCGCAGCTGAGGCAACCGGTACAGCAGCAGCTGCTGCTAGTACAGTAAAATGCTGTACATGTGGTCTGCTTTTGTCCCTGCTGCTTTTGGATTGGTTGGCTGGAGGGGTGCTCCTTTCTGTATATTCNCCTTCGCTGTGCGCCTGCTTAGACGCTTTGTCGATGTACTCATTCGTCCATTGACCTGCTGGTCTCTGTCTCGCTGTGTATTTTTTTGCTGTTCCCGTTGTTTATTTGTTTATGCTCTCCACCGTATGGGGCCGTTGATGCCCACGAGGCTTTCTTTCAGGGCACGTGGGTCGGCCCACGGCGAGTATAAATACGAGTCATCGTCATCCTCAGCGAAAGCCTGAAGACAAGTAGATTGTGCGGACAAAGAAGTAGGCGTGCAGTGAGCAATGAAGGTTGGAATAGACAATTAAGAGCAGAACGCTACAGTTACACATGAAGAAAAAGACGCAAGGACAGCGCTGGGTGTGAAGCGGCAAATCCAGAGGGAGACACACAGAGACGGTAGCAGAGAAAACCTATTACGGACAAACGCATGAAGAGACGTATAGCCTCATTTTAGACTCAGAGACGGAGAGAAGAGGCACAGGTGAGCATACGCAGAGATAATGTCCCTGCGGGGTGCCTCACAGTGACGAGCATCACGGAACACGAAACCACGTGCTGCATCTAGCTCGTGAAACAAAGCCATGCAACGCAAAGTTATATAGCTCGAAACGAAAACAGAACCGCAGCGAGACAGCCCGCAGACGACAAACATGTAGAGCTTCCACGAAGTNGCAAAAGCAGGTATTGAGGAAGTCGGCGCACTTTTTCCTCTTGCCGCTTCTTGTGGCAGTACGCCAGCACCGCCTTGTGCGTCTCGGCGTCCATCCGGGGCTCGCGGACGGGGGGTCCTGCAGCCGCAACAGTTGCAGCAGGAGTTGCGGAAGAAGCAAAGGCAGCTCCATCTATGCGAGGGAGTTCCTCAATTTATGCGTGCTCAAGACAGGAGTACACCAGCCTTTAATACTCCGAAGGACAAACTCTCATGCTGCGCTCAAGTGCGAACAAGGGTTTAGAGATTCTTGTTCAGGGTCTGGCGATGAGATTCAAGCCTCTCACCCGCACTCTTAGGCTGCAGCCGCACCACTGTCTTTGTCTTCTCGTTTGTCCCTAAATACTTGCTGAGATATTCCGTCTGTTGCAACTGTTTTCCTGTCCACCAAAGACAGGCATTCTCTAGGGTGATATTCTGGAAAAACAGCAGCAGCAGCAGAAGCGGCGGCACCCATCAAGTCACTAACTGCAGTGTAAGCTGCAAAATGTGATGAACTCCACGGCCAACGGGACACGTGTAGCACCAGCTGGAGCTGGAACTGAATGGCTAAAGCAGAGTACAGTCAATTTATAGTACGCTCTGCTTTAACGCCTGACAGGAGTCAGTGACGACAGCAGCAGCACGAGCATCAGAGGCTCCTCAAAAGACGTGTTGTAATTCTCTCGTATTTTGTCTCCTGAGTACCTCTGAAATCTCCTGACCGCCTGTTGTATCCTTGTCTTCCAAGAGGAGGCGAGCGGGCTCCCACGTGGGCAGTCCATGGTTTGCAGGGTAGGCGATTTGCAATGCTCCGCGCAGGACGTTGAGTGTCTCTTGCACCGCCTCCAACTGCAAGGTTTCCCGACGCTCAGCCTGTAAAAACACCGCGGGGTAACGGACGAGAAAGCTGCGTGCCGATGTCCCATGAAAGAATGGCGGGTTCCACAAGGCATAGAAGAAAGCAGTGAAGACATCCTTGGCCTAGTTTTCTTCAACTCTAAGTATTCCCCGGCCCAATCTACACGCCGATATCTTCATGGCTTTTTTCTCTTCGCTGTCTGCCTAAGTCCTATGAAGCTTCCTGCATTCTGCTCATTTTTCTGCTACCTCTCTACTTTCGAGCATTCTTTTATCGGGTATGCTTTTGTCTACCCTATCGAATGCATTCTGCAGCACCACTGCCTGTAAGTGCCTCTTCTTTTCACGGCATGTCCGCTCCCGTTCCTCCCCCTATCACCCGTTCCCCAAAGCTTCTACTACTTCCACCATCAGCAGCTGCTTTTGCTACACCTTTTTGTGCGAAAGCGCCTCTTTAGCCTCTGAACAGGTGCGAAGAATCACGTCGGCCACCTCTTTGGGAGGCGGCACACCAGTCCTGCAGTGGTGCGGGTCAGGGTTCGTCGGCGGGCCATCGGGGTGCACGTTTAGGTTGGACAACTTGGCCACCTGATGCCACACATATCCTAGGCCGTTAAACCTAACCCCCAAGTCTACGCCCTGCCCCTTAGTCGGCAACGGGTCTGCCAACTCTCGATGCCCCACATCTACAAACGAACCCACCACTACAACTACCCTACATGTGAAGAGTCAGCAGCAACTAACTTCCTCTGTCAGTCCCCTAGTTTCTTCTGGTCTTAGAGGCCCATAAGTTGCCAAAGCCTCTGCAGCGTCTGCCACCCTCAGTGCCTTCAGCCGCGTCAGGTGCAACGTAGCGACAGCTGAAATAATGTCCTTCACTGTCTCGTTTGTTTTAGTCTCAAACAAAAATTGGTGTTGCTGATCCGCAGTTTTCACATGCAGTAACACCATTTTGGCAGCGGCACGTCGCGATGCAAGGGCGAAACGGTTGCTGGTTGCGTGAAATAGACCAGATTTTGCCAGTCAAACCTATTGGTTGCATGCTTTTGTTCCTGGAAAAATGTCAAATTTTTTGAAAACAGAGCACGTGGGAGAAGAACGCCGTTCAGGCCATGCACGCCTACCCGCCCCTATGGCCGTGGGGCGCAGCGCCGTCCCCAGGGCGAGAGAAGCCGTGGTGGAGGCATTGTTGTGGTCTTTTCCTACCTGAAAAACTCTACNGAGCGTATACAAGGCCACAAGGTGACCTTCCCAGCACATACACTCTTCTAATTGTGTACTGAAACGCCATTCCCGTGCATTGATGTGTTCGAAATCTCTCTGTTTGCTGTCAATTCGTCGTGCTTCACCGAAAAGAACTGGGAATTGCACTATGCTCGGACAGTCCCTGAGTTGCCGTGGTTACTCCTGCGGCTGGTTTCCGCTGAACTGGCACGTGTCTACGAGCTTTTCATCTGCATTACCCTTTGAAAATCTGTTTATGATTGGTGGGATTGCTCGAATCCTCTTTGTATGCTGCCTCTTCCTAACGGGGACCTAGTATATCTTAGCTTTGCAACTCAGTTTTAGACCTGGGCAAACTCCCGGTTTGTAACGCGTGCTTTCCGGCCCTATTCAAGGAGAGAAGCCAGCTGCAATGAAGCCAAAGACTTGAGGCAACAGTTTCCCCAAGAGAAACTTGCCTGCTCCCCCGTCTCCAAGCAGCCTGGGCGTTGAGCTCAGGGTTTGGGTCTGCGGAGGAGGCAGTCTAACCCGAGTTCCAGTTCACCTCTCTGTAGCTGGAAATGCAAGGCAGTCTCACGTGTGGGCACAAGGCACCCTCAATGAAGCTTCCTTCACTGCATGTTTTTTCCTTAGATGCGCCTACACAGAGTGTATATTTACTTGCAGGCCAGGTACAGAGGCCAAGTGAATGTTCCCGTGCTAACTGCATGCAGACCACGCTACATCGTTTGTATACCTGTGCGTTTATGTATCCTGCTGCATGCTTATTTTCGCTCCTGCATGCATGATGGCTTCCCCTGTACCCCCTCGTCCCCGGTGGTAGCCTACAGTTCTTGAGTTGCATCTACGCTCGATTCTCGGCCGGCTCCCCCTGCTTTTTCCTGAACTTTCATCACCATCAACACGTACGTTTTGAAATTACTAGCTGGAGGAATGTTTTTTGCCCCCATTTTCTCGACTGGTCTCCCGCCTCTGACATTAGCCGCATCCGGGCCTGGCTTCGTTCTTAGCCAACGCTGCATGCGACCTTTGATGGCTTTTCTTGGCTCAGTGTCTAGCACGTTTTATGCAGGCCCGCATATCTGGAATGCGATGAGTGTGCTAGTTTACTCAACACTTCTTTGTGAAGCTCGACCCTTCTGCCAGTGGAATCCATACCAAAATCTAGCGGCATCTTAAATACACGCCTCGGGGACTAGCGTAAATGCCAGGCAAAATGTAGGTGGCCTCTTGATGTTAGTTTCCTTGTTGAAACGCTTTGTTTTGACCTGGTTTGGAGCTTGGATTGTCCTGCGACAGTCCACGGTAAGGGGCCGAAGGAAGGTATCGAAGACGCAACTCCGTTATGGTAGGTAGAAGGTACTGTTGTTAGTCTCAGTTGTAAGTGGGCTGCAATCCTGGAAGAGATAACAATGTTTAGAAGCCCCCNGGTACTGTTGTTAGTCTCAGTTGTAAGTGGGCTGCAATCCTGGAAGAGATAACAATGTTTAGAAGCCCCCCAAGAAAGTGGGGAGCTATCTTTTTTTAATGAGGGGGATGTTGAGGCTTAACTGAACGTTACCCTGTCGCCAAAACGGTTGCTGCTAACTGTCCTTGCAATCGCCGCAATTGGGTAACTTTTCCGCTTCCCCCTAGTGCCATCTATTCCGTTCAGCAGGCGTGCAGATGCACTCTGATTGAGCACAAAATCTTCATTCGTGGGTTCCTACTAGCTACCTTCCAAGTGTTATGGCATTCATGAAAAGCACTGCGCCATGCGCACACTCACCAAGCGCCGCACACGACTTTCCTGCTGCATTGTTGGACATTTAAGATATCCAGACCTTCAGCTTTTATTTCATCGGTGCCAGGCGAATGATCTAAGGTAGTGTCTCTGGCCTTACCCAACGTAAGTGTGTCGAACAACGCCTGTGGCCCTTGCACAAACAACGGACAATTCAGTTGTGCGCATGCGCTAGCGATGAAACTGNGAACAACGCCTGTGGCCCTTGCACAAACAACGGACAATTCAGTTGTGCGCATGCGCTAGCGATGAAACTGCAACAATCATCTATTTCCCTAATTTACGGAACCGAGAAAAAGCTGCTGGTCGTTGTGCGAAGGAGTTGTCTTTGAGAAGCTCCCGGCGAGCTGCGTGGCAAGTTTTGATAAACAGAGCTAGGCAGCGCTGGGGTCATCCTATCCAATAACACACTCCACGTGTCAGCACAAAACTATTAAAACTTCGAAAAAATATAAAAAAGGCACCTCTCTGCCAATATTTCATACTTTCTGAGGTAGGGAGGAGGGGTCCCCAAGAGAAATGGCGGTTTGTGGTCTGTCCGTGCGGAGCTCGTCGGCGCTCTGCACGGACAGAATACTGCGCGAAATGTGGGACACTTTGGCCCTGCTGACTGTTTTAAAGTATGAATTGGCCCAGATTGCCAGGCCTAATATCAGTAGTGGGACACTCGTCCCTTCTACAGACCTCTGCAGCGGGTCGGACTGGACAATCCCAGGGAGCGGGGAAAAACCGCATGGATTTCGGCTAGGCCTAAAGGCCCCATCCACAGCTCCCTAGAGTTTGTCATCCGAGTTGAGCCTTGCTTATGATTCTTTTGGACCAAAAANCCGGAAACAACACCGGTTGTTGTTCCTTCGACTACAGGCCAAGCGGGCTGAAACTGACAACGGTTCATAAACTAGAGCTTTTAGGTTTTTGTGTGAGGTCTGAATTGTCTCATCTGCCCCGGCCTCATTGCTTTGCCAGGCCGCCACGTGCAGCTATCGGCGCCCGTTCGCCGCTCACCACTGGTACATGTACGCCTGAACAGAGACATATGCGCATATATGTACATTCGCAGACAGTATCTGAGCCTTTTAACCCCTGAAATTTCAAAATGGAGGGAGGAAGACCCCAGAATGCATCATTTGCGCTGGCCGCGGAGGAGTCTCGCGTCGACATGGCGGTCCTCGCCCTCTACCCCGGAGGTGACCTTCCTCACCCCAAGGAAGAGACAGAAAGAATTCAGTGAGTTTTCTGTGGCTCTGACTATCCAGTAGTAGGCCCCATAAGGGGTCCCGCAGAATCCCACGGCTTGTGCCCGTCACTATTCACACACCGCACCATCCAACTGCGTCGCCTAATCAAATGGATCGTCTCGTTGTGAAAGCATTTTCGATTGTTCGTTCCGTTTAATTCAAGCATCTGTATTAAATCGTCTGCATCTCATTTTCACATTATGCGCCAGAGTGTGATTTGAATTGCATCCAGCCACGCGCGTTTTCAGTGTCTGCTATTTCGCATATATCCACGTCCCTGTTTGAAAACACACAACNATCAGTTGGCGAGATATTTAGGTACACAGGAATCTGTGTGGAACGTACCGCACCCACAGGCGCATGCTGAGTGGGGTCGAGACTGCAGTTTACCTAGAATCATGAATGTGGCATCCTAATGGTGACAAGAACCCCGATGTCAGCATGCAACTCGCCGCAAACCAGTCTGCATACAATCTATGGAGAAGAGATACACATATGTCTACCTTATTGCCTTGTTTTTGGTCTAAATATCTTTCTGTCTCGCAGAAAAGAGTCTGCTCTGTCCTCAATTAAGCGCGAACAGATCGCCTTTTCCTGTCTCTCCCTCGCACATGATTACATGCACAAAAACCGCCAAACCTATCAGCAACTGGCTAAAGAAAAATCCCCCCAACACGTGAGCAGCGTAAAAGCCTAATGATGTAACCGACGACCTCGCTTTCCACGAAGGCCTCGAATCAGGGCTGTTCAGACACAGGAATGGAAAACAGTTTGCGTTGCTCTATCTGATATTGTCTTTTCTTACTGTATTAAGCGAGAACTCCTGCAGGCGCTTGTTGTACCGCATAAACTACCC